GAAATCGAGTAAAAAGCATTCTCACTGGATGGTAAATAATTCCTCATGCCACCTGCTGCTGTGTTGTTATCATCACGCTCGGCTTCAAAGAAATTTAAATTCCCATTGTTTTGGTGGCTAGACCATGCAATTGGTTTCTCTTGCTCTTTATCCATTGTGAATCTATAGAAAGAAATTGCAAATAAGTTATTTTAATAATAATTAGGCAAAGTATTTGTTTTCGATTATATAGTTTTTTTTAAGAACTATCGTATGAAAAATAGAAGTAAAGCAGTTTGAGACATGCTCAAATATGTTGTGAGCAATATGTAATTCAATGAGCTAATAATTGAGACTTCAAATTTTTAATTGTAGAGACATTACTAACTTCCTGAAGGAGAAGTTTGTTTTCGCCAGAATATCTGATTTAAAGTTATTCAACATGGTTTAAGACCAAAATTGAAAAAAGTATGTGTGTGTGTGTATGTCAGCCAAAACTTAACCTTTTGTCGACAAAAAAAGCATTCTCATTGGATGGTAAACAATTCATCATGCAATCTTTTGCTCTGTTGTTATCAACATGCTCGTCATCATACAGATTTAATTTCTCAACACATCCATTGGTAGACCATTCAGTTGGTTTCTCTTGCTGATTATCCATTGTGAATCTACAGAAAGAGATTAACAAATAGTTATTTCAATTATAATTGGACAAAGTATTTGTTTTTGTTTATATAGTTATTTTTTGAGAACTATCGTTAATAAAATGAAAGTAAAGCAGTTTAAGACAGGCTTAAATATCGTCTGAGTGATATATAATTCAATGAGGAAATAATTGAGACTTCAAGTTTTTAATCGTAAGGACATTACTAATTTCTTGAAGAAAAAGTTTGTTTTAGCATGAATATATGATTAAGTTTGTTTGCTCAACGTTTCAAGTTATTCAGGATCGTATAACCAAAAGTAGGAAAGTATGTGTATGTGTGTGAATCAAAATATGACCTTTTGTCAAATTGAAAAGCATACTCATTAGATGGTAAACAATCCATCATGCAATCTTCTGCTTTGCTGTTGTCATTATGCTCATCATCATAAAAATTTAGTTTTCTAACACATCTATTGGTAGACCATTCAGTTGGTTCGTTTTGCTGGTTATCCATTGTGAATCTATAGAAAGAAATTGCCAATAAGTTATTTCAGTTATAAATGTATTAAGTATTTGTTTTTGATTATATAGTGCTTTTGATAACTTTTGTATATAAAAGGAAAGTAAAGCAGTTTAAGACAGGCTTAAATATGGTCTGAGTGATATCTAATTCAATGAGGTAATAATTGAGACTTTAAGTTTTCAATTGTAGAGACATTCTCGAAGGAGAAGTTTGTTTTAGCATTAATATGTGATTAATAAAGTTTGTTTTCTCAACGTTTCAAGTTGTTCAGAATTGTTTTAATCAAGAGTGGAAAAGAATGTGTGTATGTGAACCAAAATATGACCCTTTATCGAAGTAAAAAGCATTTTCATTAGATGGTAAACAATTCTTCACGGAATCTTCTGGCCTTATATTATGCTCGTGTTTGAACAAATTAAATTTCCTAACACATCCATTGGTAGACCATTCATTTGATACCTTTTGCTGATTATGAATCTATAGAAAGAAATTGCCAATGAGTTATTTCAGTTAAAATGGATTAAATATTTGTTTTCGATTATATAGTTTTTTTTTAGAACTATTGTTTATAAAATGAAAGTAAAGCAGTTTGAGACAGGTCTGAGTGATATTTAATACAATGAGGTAATAATTGAGTCTCCAAGTTTTCAATCGTAGAGATATTATTAACTTCTCGAAGGAGAAGTTTGTTTTAGCATGAATACAGGATTAATTGAGCTTGTTTCCTCAACGTTTCAAGTTATTCAGAATCGTTTTAACCAAAAGTGGAAAAGTATGTGTGTGTGTATGTGAATCAAAATATGACCTTTTGTAGAAGTGCAAAGCATCCTCATTAGATGGTAAACAATTCTTCATGGAATCTTCTGGCCTAATATCGTGCTCGTGTTCGAACAATTTTAATTTCTTAGCACATCTCTTAGTAGACCATTCAGTTGGTTTGTTTTGCTTATTATTCATTGTGAATCTATGGAAAGAAATTGTCAATGAGTTATTTCTGTTATAATTGAATATAGTTAGTTTTTATTAGAACTATCATAAATAAAATGAAGGTAAAGCTGTTTAAGACAGGCTTAAATATGGTTCGAGTGATACCTAATTCAGTGAGGTAATAATTGAGACTTAGTTTTTAATCGTAGAGACATTATAAACTTCTCGAAGGGAAAGTTTTTTTAGCATAAATATATGATTAATTAAGCTTGTTTTCTCAACATTTCAAGTTATTGAGAATCGTTTTAACCAAAAGTGGAACAGTATGTGTGTGTGTGTGTATGTGAATCAAAATATGACCTTTTGTAGAAGTGCAAAGCATCCTCATTAGATGGTAAACAATTCCTCATGGAATCTTCTGGCCTTAAATCATGCTCGTCTTCGTATAATTTTAATTTTTTAGTACGTCCTTTGGTAGACCATTCAGTTGGTTTGCGTTGCTGATTATCCATTGTGAATCTATGGAAAGAAATTGTCAATTAGTTATTTCAGTTGCAATTGGACAAAGTATTTGTTTTTGATTATTTAAGAAATATCATATGTACAGTATATAGCACAAATAAAAGATGTGTATCGAATTGTAATTATGGAGGAGAACTGTTATATATAATTGAAGTAGTAAAAACTACTATATATTATATATGTAATCATTGAATAAGAAATTAAAAGTAGTTCAATCTCGATCCAATAAATGAATAAACGTGAATTGGGACTATTCTTTCTCTATTTAATATATATGATTACAATTATTCATACTGATATAATATTTGAACGCATAAAAATAGAGATTCTACTTTACATAAAAAAGGAGGGAAAATACTTTAACTAGTCTTGTAGCCAACGGTATGACATAGATTATTAATAATAAAATTTGTTCAATAAATTATGTAAATTAGGTTCAATAATTAACGATACTTAATTCTATTAAACTTAAAGATACTTTACCATATATTCCGTCTTATAAAGATAATTTTCTATCGTTGCTTGCACAACACTGTATTTAAAGGTTATTTAATATAATAGATTAGTATTAGTTATTCAACTATACCTTATTAACTCAGTTATCAGATGCACAAAGACAAAATCAATGACTAGAAAATATGACTAGGATTATTCTGTGTAGCACTGTTTCTAATCTTAAACCGCCACTAACTGTACGAAAGTGATTGCGAATGCGATAAAGTGCACATATATGGCATATATGTTATCTGGTTCAAATCTAGGATAGGACAGTATAAGGATTGACGTTATTGTGCTAACTTCACGTGTCATAAAATCATTATTAGCTAACTTCTGGTTAGTAGATAATAAATTAATATAAACTAATTTAACTTGAATTTTGATTTCTGCAGATTGATAATCTTTAAATTTTGATTTAAAATTCGTCCTATCATTATTTTCAGGACTAGATAATTAATACATCTTGTACATAAAAAATGGATTAGTTTCAGAATGTGATTTACTAAAACATAGTGCTGATTTATCTATGGTGGTTTACTAAAACATTTCTCATTTTCATTTATTTTCAATAGTTTTGATATGACACAATATATGATAAATGATCGATTGCTTCGGTATCGCAAGAGCACAAATTATGCTTAAGAAGAAATACAGTTTCGATTAAGTTTACCATTATTCAATAGTCTATAGATTTATTATTTATTCAATTTTTTCCTCTACTTTTAATCTATACTCTTCTTTTATCTATGCTTTTAATTTTCTTTATTTCAATTATTAAAAAGTTGCTAAAACTACGAACTGGTGCAAAAAGAAAGAATTCTCTTTGTTGTGTCCAGACACGACGCGAGCGCTGCCGCTGG